TTTGTTTCTCTAACTTCTTCAGGACTTCCGATATTAATCGGCTCAGTTTCATTGAGGTTTGGCTTAATCTTGTTTTCAAATTGTTCCAACTCTCTTTTTATTTCCTCAACAACCTCATCTTCATCATATTCAACCTCTTGATGCATTTTTTCGATATTAGACAGCTTTTTAAGATCTGGGCGTGAATTTCGCATGCATGAGGGATAGGCTGTTGCAAGACCCATCCATGCTTTTTGCGGTGTTTGGCTTTGTTTTCATCTGCTTGTGTTGGCCGAAAGCCTAATCCAAAAGTACCCTGGTTACCGAACGGAGAAATAGGCTCCGAAATTCCTTGCAATGATGCCCCCAAGCCCTTTCCTGGCTCATAACCTTGTCTCATCATAACTGCAGCCACCATTACAGATGTGGCGGAAAGACGAGGATGCAGAATGGGCTTTCCTTCCTCGACATGGTCCACACCAACCACTTCAAAAGCCTGATAGACAATGGACTCAGAACCTTCCTTGGCCTCAATACAGGGGATTAACAGGTCTTTATAAATGGAAGACTCGTCTTCTCCGTGAACAATAATTTCTTGCCTGTCATGCTCGAATTTGAGCATCTGATGCAAGGTGGATGGCATAGCTCGGGCCATATGGATCCATGCCCTTCCAAGAAGAAAGTTATAAGAAGTGGCCATGTCCACTACTTGGAAGACAATCTCAAAGTCAACTGGCCCAATCGTCATGGTGAGGTTGATCTCCCCAATGGTATCTCTTGCTGAGCCATCAAAAGCCCGGATGCGAACATTGTTGGGTCGGATTCTGTCTGTATCGATCTTCATGCTTTGCAAGGTAGAGAGAGGGCATACATATACACTTGAGCCTCCATCAACCATGACTCGCTTTACATAATGACCCTCATATTTGACCATCAAGTTCAAAGCCCTATTGTGCCCGGCTCCCTCCTCGGGAAGTTCATCATCAGTAAAGGAGATTCTGTTCACCTCGAAAAATCTGTTAGCCATCTTCTCTAACTGATTCACTGTGGTCTCCTCTGAGATATGTGCCTCGTTCAGGACCTTTATTAGTACCCGGGCATGCTCTTTGGAATGTAGGAGCAGAGATAGTAGAGAGATTTGAGCGGGAGTCTTTCTTAGCTGGTCAATGATTGAGTAATCCTGAACTTTTATCTTTTTCAAAAACTCTTCCGCATCTGCTTCAGTGACTGGTTTCTTTATTGGCAAATAGCCTTCTCTAATTTGCTTGGCCTTCCTCAACTCTTCTGGAGAGTAACATCTCCCTGATCGAGTCAAACCTCCAGTTTCCCCCACTTCCTCTATGATTTCCTTGCCTTTGTAGGTCATCACCATTTTGTTGTAGTTCCAAGGAGTGGTTTTTGTGTTGGTTACCGGGGGTTGCATGGCAGGTTTGATTACGATCAACACTGTTATACCTTTCGTACCTCCCTGCTTCTCCCTTTTGACGGGGTGGCCTCCATGTACATATAACCTTGGGCTTGGAACACTGGAGTGAACTTCCTACCTCGAGATCTTTGGAACAAATAAAGTTGCCTTATTTGAGCTCTGGGCGCCTTTCACAATCAGTGGCACATCTCGGATGGGACTTATTTCCAGACCTGCTCCTTCTTGAATTACACCCACTATCATTTCTGCTCGACTGACCGGCTTGTATACTTGATCTCGGCCAATCATTCCCATAAAATGAACATCATTGTGTGCTGGCAACAGGTTGTTTGTCACGTTAGGAGGGTCCTCGCCATTCGTCACTACAATCAGTTTTTCAGAAATGAGTCTCTCTATGGGTCTTTTCAGAGTCCAACAGTCATCAGTGCTATGCCCTGGGGCACCGGAATGATATTCACATCTAGCATTTGCTTGAAATCCATGCAAATCGGGATGCATATGTTGGGGAGCGATGGGTCCAATTACGCCCATTTGCTTCAGCTTCTGGAATAGACAAGAATATGATTAAGCCAATGGAGTGAATTTTTCTACCAGCCTCTGCTCTCGACCATAATCCTGCCTGGGACGAGCATTGTAGGGTGCCCGAAAATTTTGCTGCTGAGGTCGGGGGGCCCTTGGAGCTGGTGCCCGTACCTGCTGATTGGGAGGCCGAGCATATGATTGAGCATTGAATACTGTATATTGTGGTGGGCCCATAGAGTATTGAGGAATTGGCAGGGGATAATAATGTTGAGGGTAGCTGGATTGCCCCTGCTGAACTTGCACATAAGGGTGCGATGCCCCTCTTTGAAACTCCCTAGATCCCGAAGCCATCATGGACCCTTCATCTCTCTTCTTTCTATTCGCCAAACCTCCTGACCCATTTTGGATAGCTTGGGTGGTGGCTTTGAGAGCAGCTTGACTTACAATTCTGCCAGTCTTGAGGCCATTTTCGACCATCTCCCCTATTTTGATTGCTTCTGCAAAAGGTCTACCCATCGTGAACATCATGTTCTGAAAGTAATCAGGCTCTTGAGCCTCCAGAAAAATAGTGATAAACTCGTGGTTATCTATGGGTGGCTTAACTCTAGCCGCTTGCTCCCTCCACTTGATGGCATACTCCCTAAAACTTTCGGTCGGCTTTTTCTTCATATTGGACAAGGAATTACGATCCGGCGCAATAACAATGTTGTACTGAAATTGTTTGATGAAAGCCTGGGCCATGTCATCCCAAACATGCCAATGAGAGATGTCTTGGTCAATGAACCATTCGGAAGCTACCCCCACAAGGCTTTCCCCAAAGTAAGCCATCAACAGCTCTTCCTTTCCTGCTGCACCCCTCAGCTGGTTGCAATACCTTTTCAAGTGGGCGATAGGGTCGCCGTGTCCATCATATTTCTCAAATTTTGGCGTCTTGAATCCTCGTGGCAAATGGATGTGAGGGAACATACATAGATCACTGAACGAAACGCATTTGTGACCACCTAGTCCCTGTATATTCATTATTTTCTGTTCAAGACTTTTCATTTTCCTAGCCATCTCATCTGGCTCAACAGTCGTGGCAGGATTTTCATTTTCCACTGGCAATTCGTACCGAGGAGTCTGATTGTATGGAGCCGAGACCCCAAAAGCCATATTTGGAGAATAGTATTGGCCATCATAAGCATGAGATGGTGGCTCATTATTTGGACTTGTCACAGGTGGTGGCGGCGGGATTGTATATACCGGTGCGCCAGACACAACGAGAGGGGTGTACCTAACCGGTGCGACTGGAGGTCGCATATTAGAAGTAGCGGGGACAGCATGGAGGATGTAGCTTGGCACATACCCTGGTGGTAGAATGGGATCGCTCGTTGCATGGAGCGATGTTTGAGTAGCCTGGGGTATGGTGGAAATTCCCTCTGAAGGACCCTGGGGTGGAGGTTGACCGAAAACCCAAGCTTGATATACATCTGACCGTTGCTATCTCAATTTTCTTATTTCCTCCAACTCTTGCTCAACTGACTGACCCTGCGGATTGTCACTGACCAACTCGATTTCATCACTATTATCCATTACCACCGCTCCCTTAGATCTTGTGAAGTAATGATGTGTTGCCAGTTTTCACCACAAACCAACCACCTTAAGCTTACTGAGTTAAGAGGCAACAAATGTGTTAGGGTTAAGCATTTTACAGATAGGAATCGCACGTAGATATGATATGCTCCTAAAATATCACCATCTCTAACATGCTTTTGGAAGGCTTCATGTTTCATTCCGGCTTATAAGATTATTATCTATTGGCGCTCTTATTTTCTTCTCTTGATCCCTCAGTTTATAGTCATTTGAAAAATATTTGATCGAACCTTTTGTGGGTTGCCTACGAATCATGTCGCCACATGAATCAGATCATTACGTAATTCAGGTACATGACCTTTTTTTTTACAAAACAAACATCTTTTTGGTTCATTTTCGAATTTTTCTAAACAAAATCTTTTTCATTGATTTTTCAACATATATAATATTTTTTTTGATACAAGACTCAAAAAGAAGCAATTACATAAAGATAAACAAGGCCAGACTTGACTCAAACAGACTTTTTAGGATAAAAGACAAAACAACAAGACTCAGAACACCAAAAGACTCTTACAGACTCAAAAACAACAAAAGAAGAATGACAAATGACTGATAACTAAAAGAAGAATTTGATCTCTGCATTAGAATCCACCAGCATCACTGTAATCAAGGTGCTTGTTCCTGTGGCTGACCCCCAACATTGCGGTATATCCTCTCCAAGTCTGCAGATATATGACGAGCAACGTTCAATGATACTTCTGCAAACCGCTCAGGCGTCACTCCCTGACAACTCCTGCATGCTCTTGAGGTATATGTGGCTACCTCGAGGATCTTTCCCTTAATGTATTCCTGAGCCACATGCAACTCTTGATTTTGCTGACCATGGGTCTCAGCTAGATCCAGCACATCACGCTCGCGGTCCAAGGCCATATCTTTCTGGCGCCGAACATCTAGCGACTCCGCTTCTAACTGATTTATCACCTTTTGGTAGTGGTGTCTTTCTATTTCAAACTCCGCGATCTGGCTCTCCTTCCTTGACTCAACTCCCCCTATCTGATCCCTCAGACCTTGGATTAACGGAGCAAAACCTCTACGCTCGTGATCACGGACTACCCTAAACTGGGCTTCTCTCTTCTTGTTGCTGAGTGGTTGCAGCTATGTTCTTCTTTTGAATTCGGGCTTTGAGTGCTTGCTTCTCTCGTGCCTACTGAGCCTTTTCCCGCCCAAAATCAGCCTGTTGTATGTCCATGGCTGTCTCGAGAATGCCCTTATCTTCTTGTAAAATGTCAATACGAGATTGGAACTCTTGTGCAACTTCCCTTCTGGTTTCTCTAACTCTGGCCTCGATCTCCTCCTCCCAGTCAACTGCATGCCGTATGGATCTTTTTGGCCTTTGCTCGGGGATAGCCTGGTTGTGAAACCACTCAAGGTATGCGAGGCTTACCTCCCCACGTGCACGATCAGCTACCATCTCGTCCAAATCAGAAAATCGACCACCAAATCAAACCTTTTGTGCATAAGACTCCCTTGGAGGTTCCTCTCCCTTGAATTCCCACACGAACGGATGCATGTCCTCAATCGGGGGCCTCTTTTGCTCTCTCCCTAGCTGGCGCATGACGCGTAGGGGCGCGTAGGGTTGGAAACCTCTGAAACCCATGAGTATGAAGAACGGGCGATATGTCGACATATGCATGACCCTAGCAGAAGGGAACCAATAATAGTTCCAAGTGATTCTATCAGCACTCAATGAACCAAGTAATTTCCGCCAGGCCCTCACCCCCTCTGGAAGATTACAACTTGCGGCCCTGTCTGGGTGACATCCAATGTAATTCAGCCAGTTTTCATTGAAATTTATTACTATTGGATGATGATAGAGGTGCTCTATGAACCACATCTGCAGTAGAATGTTGCATCCCTCGAAGTAATCTTCACCTTCTTGGCAGCAGGTCAAAGCTCGAAAAATATCTCCCAAAATCATGGGAAGAATGGTATGATCCTCGCTACTTTGCAAATACGAGACTACCGCAACCAATCGAATTCGGATGCGCCCACCACGCTCTGGAAAGACAATGATCCCTAGAAATGATATCATGAACGCGAAGATTCTCAACTCCCTCCAAGCGTCGTAACTCAACTGGTTGACGAATTCTATGCCCGAGAAATTTTCAAACTCTTTCTCGTCCCCAAACCTGTCATAGAGATATTCCAACGGAACCCAACCTTCGTTTAAGCAAACCATTGGAATTCGGCGGAGGCATAATTTCTTTAAAAAGTTGTTCACACCAACTTTTCTCGGAGCAGCAGGCTTTTTCCCACGAAGGTCTCTCCCCAATCCGGTGAACCCACCTAACTCTTCCAATGTGGGCGTCATTTCACAATCTTTGAACCTGAAGACATTGTTCGCGGGGTCCCAAAAACCCACTAGAGCCTCGATTAAATCTCTGTTAGGCTTAATTCCCATGATGTTTGTGAGGAACTTGAGGTGCTTAAATACTCGATTTCGTTCCCATGCAGCAAAAATAGCCCACCAATTACAGAGACTACTCGGGGTCTTATCTCTGATCAAGAACATAGGAGGTGTCTCGTCCCTTACCCTTTTCTAACTGTTTCTTTGTGGAGAACTCACGGTGATCCTAAGAATAAGATAAAAAGGGTTAGGACTTACCTAAACTATATGCAAATTATGATCATTCATTATTTTATTTTATTTTTTGGCCAATTTAGGACTCGATCTATTTTTTTATTTTTTATTTTTATTACAATATATATTTTGAAATTACCGGACACAAAAGTTGAGATGATAAAAGTGGAAAAAATGGCTATTATTACAAAGACAACCCTTTGATACTTCCATAGAAGGCATAAAGGATGTCTCGGCAAAAACAGCCAAACACAGGAACAAAACGATAAAAATAGACAAAAATAATAAATAAAAAACTATTTTTACGAAAATGACCCTAGGGGTTCAAAAACTGTCTCAGCAAATATAACCAGACAAAACTAGATAAAAATGGCTCGAAAACAGCCTTTCGGTACTTCCGGAAAGGTTTAAAGCTGCTTCGACAAAAAATGGCCAGACATAAGGAAAAAATGGTAAAAGATGAATAAATATGGATAAAGAAACTATTTTTACAAAAAAAAAAAATGGCCCTTCAGCACTTCCCAGGAAGATTTTAAGGTTGTCTTGGCAAAACAACTGGAACATGAGGGCAAGACAGTAAAAAGGTGACCAAAATAGGCTCTTTTTTTTGTTGAAAATTTCATGCACATGTGGAATTTTATGCTTCCCTTTTTTTGAAAAATGTGGGCTGAACCCGATGGAGGTTGCCTACGTATTTCACATCCGGTGAGAATTCAACCCACGTAGTTCGGTAAAATTGGGTACTCTTTTTTTTAAATAAAAATTAATCTTTTACAACTCACACCAGATTACTACAATATATATATATATATATATATATATATATATATATATATATATACTTTTTCTATTTTTTTTGAAAAAAAAGTTTCTTTGTACTAAACTAGGAGAATGGTTCCCTTTTTTTTTTTTCTTTTTTTTTAATAATTCCGCTACACTAATTTTCTAAAGCCGGTCGACAATGCAAGTAAGCCTTCCAAATGATATATCAAGTAGCACATACGTGAACATGATGGTCTCAAATAGGATACCTGTCTTATACGGACCCGGCCCCTGTGCCGAGTTTCGCCAAGTCAAATGCACGTGATGCACATAGAGCAAACCTACTAGGGAAATCCGGCATGAGGTTTGTTCTTCTAGGTTTAAATCTTGGTGGAAAAGGTATCTAGACTGGCTTATTCGAGCGGACAACTCGAGCCGAGGAGGGTCGGTGTACCGGTAGCATTGCTTTCCGGCTTAACTGGTGGTGCTCTCCGCCTAAAATAGGTGTGACTAAAATCCTTCACCGGGTAACAAGCACCTCGGCTATCTCAAAGAAAGCGGGCTATGTCAAGCAAATGCTCAATTTTAATTTCAAGAAGACTCAGAGGGGGTGCGTGAGAAGACAGTTTATATGTACAGTTCAAAAATATCAAAGCGGTAAAAAGCAAACAAGTAGCATATTATGCCCAAATAAATCACAGTATATACAAAATTAATAAAGCCAAATAAAAGTCGACATGTACAAGCTCGAATTCTGGTTGTCCCCAGCGGAGTCGCCAGAGCTGTCACACCCCTTTTTGTACCCCCAAAAAGAATATGTGTATGGGTTAATGAGTTTTTCCAATTAAAGTGACAAAAACTTGAGTAGGGATTGTTTTATTGTTCAGAGTCGCCACTTGGAATTGATTTTTCGGTGTTCCAAGTCGCCATTTATTTGAATCCTTAGTCAAGGGAAGGTTTGACTCTATTTTTATCGGTTCGCGAAAATAAAGTTCGGGTAAGGAATTCTATTGACCGGGGAGAAGGTGCAAGGCATTCCCCGAGTCCCGTGGTTCTAGCACGGTTGCTTTATTGACTTAAACTCGGCTTGCATTAATTATGGACAAACTGTAATTTTATTTGGTTTTCATGTTTTACCTATGTCCGCTTTTATTGTTATAATTATTATAGAAAAGATTTTAATAAAATTTTCCTGACCGCACCGCGCAAGCGAATGTGCGACCGAGATGAATTTTATTTGATTTTTTGTCATAATCGCGCTACGCACGCGAATCCGCAGTCATGACAAACGATTGTTAGCACGTTATTTACTTTTGAAAAATTGCTACAATTGTGCTTTGAGGAAAAATTAATCCCTTTTTTTTGGAAAATTTATTAAATGTCACTACCACGCTACGCAAGCGAATCCGCGATTATGACAAAAGATTTATAAATTAATTAAAGAAAAAATGCATAAAGTAACCATTAAACTTGTCCGGAAAAATTATTTACACACCTAATCTTTACGTACGACCTTTTATCCCACTATTTTAAATTTAAGTGAATTTAATACCCTCCTGAGTGATGACCTGGAGTAAGACATGTGATTCATTTTACAGACGCGCGTGAAGGCAAAAAAAATAACTTAAAACTAGTTTAATAGTCCAGATGTTACTTTCCTATTGGATATTATAACTAATTAACTTAATAGTACTATTTTTTTCTCTTTTCTTGTTCATTTTTCTGTTCTTTTCGTTTTTCTTTCTCTTTCTTCATTTAACAGAAGCAGAAGCAGGGAACCAATGGCCACAAGAAATGAAATAAATTTTTTGCTAACAGAACCAATGGCCACAAGAAATGAAATAAATCTCAATAACTAGTTTTAAAGAGGAAATGGCCACAAGATATTAAATAAACTAGTTATTAAATCATTTCTTAACAGAACCAATGGCTTTGGCATTGCCTCTTTAATATTCTAGAAAAATCTCAATGAAATGAACCAATGACCACAATAAATGAAATAAATCTTTCATTTAACAGAAGCAATAATCTTTCTTCATCCGTCCTTCTTCAATTGAGATTTTCCCAATCCAAGTTTTCATCTATTTTCTGAAAAATACCTATTTAGAACCAGAAATAGTGTTGAAAAGAAGACAAGGTGTCGCCGGAAAATTCTCCGGCCGGAGAAAATTTCCGGCCAACCAAATATTTCTTCTATCCCAAGCTTTCCGACCCTTTTTCTCCTTAATTTCGTGTAATGTCAAAGACCCAAATAAATTTATCTACAATGAAAAAAGAAGAATAGAGATAGAGTCGATGTGTTTAAGAAGGTTATGGCTGTGAATGGCTTTTACAGTGGTAGCGGGCAAAAGTTATGAGGAAGAAGGTGAAGAAGATGAAATGAAAAAAAGAATAGAAAATGAAAGAAGTATATTTAAAAAAAGTAAAAAAATACTGTAGCGCGTGTTAACACAGCCACCGCAAGAGTGGTTCAGTATTTTGAAGAGGGTATTAAATTCACTTTAGATGAGAATAGTGGGGTAAAAGGTCGCCAATAAAATTTAGGTGTGTAAATAATTTTTCCGGACAAATTTAATGGGTACTTTATGCATTCTCTCTTAATTAAAACTATTGAATATGATATGAAATTGGTGAATTAACTTATTAAATGTTAAGCATCACGCTACACAAGTGAGTCCGTGAAGTTAAAGCGCACCTACTATTTGCCTAGCGTTTAAATTAATTAAAAGGAAACGAGTTAATTTAATTAGTAGAAAAATATGATATTGTTATTATTTTCTAGCTTTATAGTTGGGAAAAATTATGCAAATAAATATTGGACCAACTTTATCTATTTTAAATAAATGAGCCAACTTGTTGTTAAAAGGAAAAATGGGCCAGCTTGTATAGAACTTTTGGGTTGCTGGAATTTATTATAAGAAAATGGGCCAGTTAGTATATTTATTAACTTGGCTTATGATGTTCATCTTATGTGGCCTAAATTTATTATTTTGAGCTCTAATAACCAAATGGCCAACTGAAGCTAGCAAATAATACTTCATTTTACATTGTAACAACTTATATAAAAATATCCTTTGAATTTTAACACGCTAAATCGTGATAATAGAGAGATTGTCATATGAATCAAAAAAAAATTAAATCAGCATCATGCTCAATCAAGAAGAGAAGTACATTGGTAATCTTACACTCAATTTTAGAACAAATGGCCAAAATAAATTACATGTGAAAATAACCTCTTTTATTGCAAAAAATGAAGAACCTATATTAACCATATTCATTCAACCTTAACTAAAACCATTTGTAAATGTCTAAACAAGACTACTACTATAAATGAGACCACTTAGCTTTAAAATGAAATCATAAGTATGATCAAACAGTGGTCAATGAATAAAAAAAAGGTTTAGTTGGGCAACAAACAGAGGGACGAACATGAAACTGCATGGTTCAAAATATAATACATACTCATTTCACACAACCACACAACCACACAACTGAGGGATACTCCCTTCACACAACCACACAACTCAGGGCCAAGCAGAATTATATCCTAAACTTTGGCATAAGACTAAAGATGCTTGGTACAATTTAATTAACTAACACACAGTCATAATATTATCCAATATTCAAAAGTATGTAATAATGAAGCTGCTAATATTTTCAGGCACCATTGCTTTCATTCCAACTTGATTTTTAGGAGTTTACATGGCCTGAAAGTTACCTGGACAGCAGAAAGAAGAAAAAATTCAGCAAATCAACTCTTTCCAGATTAATGTAAATTGGATATTTTCGAGTGGGCTTCGTTCCCTTAGCATATTTTAATGGTTATGTACTGATTGTGGCTAGATTTGGAGCATACGGAGGTCGATTCGTGCGGGCACGCGGGCTAGAGTTTGGACTGGATCGAGGTAAGTAATGATTGTAAATACTATCCTGAGAGTTTGAAACCCCGGATTTACACATCGTTGTGTTATTTTGAGGTGACGCACACGCTAGATGACGAGCGTGGAGTTGTGCACCGTTGGGGATTGTGACTTGGTCCGTCCCGTATGATTGTTAAG